TGTTCTAAAGATCTACCTACCACAGAGTGTCAACCTCACCCCTGCCCTTCTATGATAGCTTTTTGTCCCACTGGAGCCAATGATACTGAAGGTATAGTCCACATACATACACTTGACAAAACTGGCAGAAATAAGCTAATAGGGAGGTCAGTAAACTATGACCCAAAGTGGGTCAAACCTAGCCCAAAGCATGTTCTTTTTTTGTGTGTGATTTTTTGTTTTGTTTTGTTTTATTTTTTAATATGGAATGCTTCACAAATTTGCGTGTCATCCTTGGGTACGGGCCATGCTAATCTTCTCTGTATCGTTGCAACTTTAGTATATGTGCGGCCAAGCAAGCACCAAAGCATGTTTTTGTAAATGACGTTTTAGAACACAGGCATATCCCACATGGCTTGTGTTTGCCCATGGGTGTTTTTGCAATAAAATAGAAGAGCTGAGTCGTTGCAACAAAGACTATGTGGTCCTCAAAGACTAAAGTACTGTCTGGCCCTTTGCAGAAAAGGTTTCCAACACTTGAGCTAATTAATATACTGCATGAAAAGAACTTAAAATGTTTCATTGAAAAGATTGCATTAATAGGTATAATTTTAACATCCCGAGTCTATTTTTAACTAAATGATTGCTCAAGTACAAGAGGAGGGAAGTTAAACTTTATAGTAACTCACGTAAAAATAACAAACTGTGTGATATTGGAAACAACCACTTGCCTCCCCAGCCAAATCTGCGAAATCAACAAATGCCACAGATATCTTTTAGGAAAAAGCCAGCAGATTTAATTAACCTCCGGCTAAGTAAGGAGTCAATAATGTGAAGTGGCTAATTTTAAAAAGCTGATGAATGGGGAACATCTGTAGTACTATCAAGAATGAAAAATAAAAAATCTGATGAAATCTTAGATTGTATTCTCAAAATTTAGAGAATCTGGAGTACGATGGGAGAGTCGTTGTATCTCAGATACTTGAAGAGTATACAACTACTGCACATCTTCTTCACAAAATGACCTTGAGAAGTTATGGAGAACCTCTGCTCGGCAAGGGGAGTCACTCAAAGGTTTTACCGCAACTCCGCACACCTACTGCTGCTTGGACCCACAATACTCCAAGAATCCACATGGGTCCACACTGGTGAAAGGGCAGCTACTTTTCCCTAATCACTAGGGTCCCATGACATGTTATCCTCTCTTTTTTAATGCTTCAGAAACTCAAAGTACATTATGTCATCTACTCATTTAGTATGTCAGGTTCTATTCCCCTGGGGGGTTGGGGGGGAGTCTAGTTAAATGTTGAATTTAACAGTAATTATATAACTTTCTTTTGAAAGATTTTCCTAGAATATACTCATTAAATAGTTGAGAATACTTCCTGAGTCTAGCCAGGACATATTTAGTTCCATCCTAAAAAAAAAAAACAAAAAAAAACCAACAACAAACAAACAAACAAAAAAACACACACAAAAAAACACACAAAGTAACAACAACAACAACAAATAGTTTTCTCAGCACAGGATTCTATATACTAGAAAATGGTCATAGTGTGGTATTACAAGAATTTCATTCCTACCATGAGAATACCTAACCTGACATCCTAAATATTTTCATCAAGCTTGCCTTACTTTTTTAAATTCTGAAAGTAAAGATAATATACTATCTTAACCATAGTCCTTAGGGAAGAAATACCTAATAAAACTCACTACAAGGCATTTCACATTTCATGAGTAAAAATTCCATATACATTCCACTAATAAAAATATCACAGAGAGGACTGGAAAACTGGTGATTATGCTCAATGGTGACCATTAATGCTTTAGGTCAGTGGGTTTGGCACTAAACTTCGTAGAACTCCACGTGTTCCTCAGTGCCCTCTGAGATGCCAATAAGGGAGGAGGAGCTGAATAGTGAGGGAGCCTAGAACCTTCCCAGTTTAAACCAGACCTGCTTTACTTTAGTCTGTTCTATATGCATAGTTTTTGCCTAAGATTTTATTCCTATAAGTGATTGTTCCTATAACTAAAACCATATTCAAAAGAAAATCAATGTAGCTAGTTAAAACTTTTATTGAAGTACATAAATGGTCATTTGACACGAAGTTCTCAATCTTATTGTTTGTCCTATATTTACCTTAGATCCTGGAGTTCCAGGCTGACCTGGTGAGCCATCGCTTCCCATCAAACCCTACATTTTTAAGTGGGAATTCAAGAGAAATATAGAGGAAAACATTTTAAAAATTTAAATTCATTTCTAAGCCACACATTCCCATAACAATTGATCCACTTATTTGGAAAATTTCCTTACACACATCCTAATAAAGGATAATAAAGTAAATAAGCAACCTATACAAGATAGAATGAAGACTAGCAGAGCCCTTGTAAATTTTTGCTCAAAGAATCTACAATAGCACAAGTTACTGAAGGGCTGGTAAAGGACAGATGTAAGGAAAAGTTTATTTTTTTCTATACTCATTCTTCCCTTTATCATGAGGGTGAAGAATTAGATTTCTGCATAAGATGTTACCTTGACCAACATTACTTAGAATTCCTATTTTCTTGAACAGTATTTTGAAAGAGTTACAATCTAATAAATTCTTTGAATAAAATAATCTCTTCAAGTTACAAAATGGCCATATTTTTAACTAACCATATAATTTATAATAAGACAATGATAACCACTCTAGCAAAAGGACCTGATTTTTGTTGTACTTTAAATACCATCATGTATACTAAAAATATCTACTTTCTCTTAAATATGGCAAAGGAAATGTGATGAGCAAAATAAAAGTTCAATTAATAGCATCAGAAAATATAATCTCAACATGGCCATATTAAAAATATCATGTCATCAATGCTATGCTTTGCTGTTAATTTAGGATGGCATTGCAATTATAAAATGTAAAATATACTAGTTAATAGCACAGTATTTGAAATATTAAAAATTTATTTTCTGGTTTATCTATAGTAAGGTCTCTGATCTTTATTTGGGTGGTCAAATTTTTGAGAATCTGAAGAAATCTAGACTTTTCTAGAAAAATGGACATAAACATTATCTCTTTCATACAAATGGATGGAATTGGTGAACCTCAAGTATCTTATGGCTGGACCCCACCAAGTTTTGTGAACTCCAGAATAAGAACTCTTGGTATATAGTAACAATATTTCAAACCCCTGATAATAATGACATTAACATACAGGTATCCCCGGAGCTCCTTTTTTTCCTAATGGTCCTGGAGGCCCAATTTCTCCCTAAAAATCAAATACAGATCACATTTAAAATTGGAAATTATCAACTCATTTCCAGAAATTTTCTGACCCAAGCACTACAGAATGAAAATTCAATACCAATCAGCCCAGTGTGGTCTGTTTTCCCTTTCTGTACTGTAAGAAAGGAGCAAGGCAAGGCTGAAAACTCAGGAATTGAACACCTTAAAGACCTGGGGTCTGTGGACTTACAAAGTCAGATATTTTCATTAGGAAATCAGGTCTGACACTTGCCAGTCTTTCGAAGATGACCTAGCAGTTCACCAAAAGGTGAGACAACAGGGGGGAATAATAAAGAAATTTTTTTTTTACTTATCAGAGTTTAAGATCTATGATAGTAAAAACAAACTAATTAAAAAAATGAATACGGAATAACAGCATTCAGGTTTAAACTTCTGGGATTGTGGCTCACTGGGTGCTCCAAGGGATTCTCGGAATCCAGAACAAACACAAACAAAAACAAAAAACAGAAAGAGCATCTTCTGTGAGAAAATGCCAGTCTTCTAAGAAGTAGGGGAGGTCTTCAAATATCCCTCATTTTAATAAAATATACTCTGGGTTGAGGCTATAATTATGAGATTTGGAGCTGTGCAGGAGTCAGAGGATTGGGGTTGTCTGAGAGTGCATGCTCAGCTCAGCAAACTGACTGCTGGACCAGCCATCTGTAGAGGCAGAACTTTCAAAGGGGGTTGAAATCGTGTCCATGCTACCAATTGGAGGCAGCTCTCCACCTCCAATTAGGCTGACAGGATTCCCACCAACTAAGATAAGCAATGAGCTCACAATCAACCAGAAAAAAAGAGGCAGCAAGCTACAAACTGAGACTCAACAGGAATATCCACAAATGACAGAAGCAGAATTTAAAACTGTATATGAAATATTTACAAATTAAAAAATGAAACCAGGAGGACTAGTAGAACTGAAAACAGAATAAGAAAATTTAGTAAGAACAAAAAGATATTATTAAAAATTAGAACTTGCCATGGCCAGTGTGGCTCAGTAGTTTTGGAGTGTTGGCCTGCACACCTAAGGGTCTTGGATCCAAATCCTGGTCAAGGGCACATATGTGGGCACCAGTTGGGGCCGGTGCAGGAGGCAACCAATCCATGTATCTCTCTCACATTGAGCTCTCTCCCCCCACCTATCTCCATCCCAACTCTACCTCCCTTCCACTGTCTCTAAAAAATCAAGGGAAAAGATATCCTCAGGTGAGGATTTAAAAAAAAAAAAAAACCAACAATTGATTTAAATAGATTAGACACAGTGGAAAAATAAGTACACTGCAAAATATATCCAAAAAATTGAACCAGAGTGTAAGACAGAATAAAGAATATGAAAATAAAAAACTATTTAGGGATATACTGGTAGAGGACAAAATTAGAAGGGATAAATATATCTCACAAGAATTCCAGAAAGATGCAACAGAATGAAATAGTAGTAAAACGGAGGTAATGGTTGATGTTTTATAGAGTTAATACAAATGATTCCACAGAGCCGGGAAGCAAATTGAGTTCCCACCAGGATGAATAAAGAGAAATCTTTATCTAGATACACCACAGTGAGTTTCAAGAACACTAAAAACAAGGAAATACCTTAAAAGAATCCCAAAGAAAGGGACAGACACAAATCAATGGTCATTAGAATCAAAGCAGATTTTTCATAGTAACAACAGAAGCCAGGGGACAATAGAAGAAATTTCTCAATGTGTTAAGAGAAAATAATCCTCAATCTTGAATTGTATGCTCTACAAAATTATGTCTCAAATACAGGAGTAAAATAAAGATATTTTTAGTTAAATCAAAACTGAAAGTTTATTATCAAGATATCTGTACTAAAAGAACTTCTAAAGGAATAGTTCAGGAAGTAGTAAAATTACTACTAAGAGCACAAGACAGAAAAGTAACCTAGTAAAATAGAAAGCAAGTATGTAAATGCAAATTTATATTATCTGGATAAAATAATAATAAAAACTAATTTGTAAAATAATAGCTTCTGAAATTATATCATATTTGAACAATGGACTTGCCATGAATGTAGTAAAAATGTATTCTTGGTGAAGACACATTGCCCTTTTAATAAGCTGATTCAGGCCCAAATCTTTCAACTTTCATCAATACCCACCTTTTGTCCCATTAATCCTTGGTTTCCAGGAAATCCTGGGATTCCCTAAAAAGAAATAAAATATATTTTTAAATAAAATGTTAACTGTATCATTAGAGAATAGGTAATAATTGGATTTTAACTTATAAGTAATGCATAATTTCAAATATATCCATTTACAGTATAACACTTCCACTTATAATAATCCAATTTGGAAAACAGGAAATTTATGAGAGCTGATACTATATGAATATCTACGATATTAAAAGTTTAAAATAAAGGCTTTCAAAAATCTCTGAGGATATTAACCTTGGTTCTTCCTTCAGACCAACATAAGTGATAAAATAAGGACATTTCATCTAAACACATCCGTGTGTTACTTATCAAGAATAATGCAAAAAAAAATTGTCAAATTAGAGTTCAGATTCAACACAACACTTCCAAAGGTCCTCACAGTATCACCACTATAATTAAAAACTGATGAAACTAAATAATTTCCTCCAAACTGAGCCTTGAAATACCCAGAAACCTAATTCCTTGTGTAAAATATGGTAATCTTTCTCCTAATGATTCCCTTGCTAATAAAATCATAAAGAATATGCAGGCCACAGCTTGTGGAGAGACAGGAAAACAGAGAGGTCTTTCACATGGCTCAACCCAAATGTATAAGTCCTCTAGCAAGAGTCAGAGGAACTTAATGTTAATTTTATAAATTTGAGAATAACATTAGAACATTTATTAATGAGAAAATTCTACTCAGTCTTTCAATACATTTATCAAAATGATCATTTCTCACCCAAACAGTGATGGTGCTAATCACATTAATCAATTTTCATTTTTTTATTGTTTTTCTTAGCTCCTTTCTCGATGACACTTAAGATGGAATAATTACTGTGTGTGTGTGTGTGTGTGTGTGTGTGTGCGCGCGCGCGTGCGCACACAATCTGGCAGGGAAGGGAATGTGAAAGAGAAAGAAGTTGGGCCCCATCAGTATTTTTCTGAAAGACCTCTGCATCATTAGGGCTTACAAAAAATAAGCAGTGCGCTCCTCAGTAAATCAGGACAAGTGGTAGAGATGCCACTATCAGTGAAATCAGTTATCTTCTATTACAGGGACAGTCTGCCATAATTTTGCCTTTCACATCTTGATTTTATTAATACAACTAGAGGCCCAGTGCACAAAATTCATGCACTGGAGCCGGGGGGAGGGGAGGGGCGTCCCTCAGCCTGGCCTGTGCCCTCTCGCAGTCTGAGACCCCCTGGGGGATATCCACCTGCCGCGTAGGCCCGGTCCCCGAGCCGGCAGTCAGACATCCCTCTAGCAATCCGGGATACCTCGCTCCTTACCACTCAGCCCGCTGCTCCTTAGTGCTGCCGTGGAGGCAGGAGAGGCTCCTGCCACCACCGCTGTGCTCACCAGATGTGAGCCTGGCTTCTGGCTGAGCAGCCGTTCCCCCTGTGGTAGAGCACTGACTACCAAGGGGCAGCTCCTGCATTGAGTGTCTGCCCCTGGTGGTCAGTGTGCATCATAGCGACAGGTCATTCTGCTGTAATGGTCGCTTAGGGTTTTATTATATAGATTCTGTTCAGTGTAGGGCAGGAGCATATAGTTCTAGTTTAAAACTCCACTTGAATTATAAATTGCAATTCAATTGTATTCTACTCGGCTCAATTCAGTTTGCCAGGGCTCTCCACCCTTTGCACGGAAAAAAATGCATGTAAGCAATGGCTACCTACAGGTGTTTGAAGTCTACTTGAAAACACAAGCCTTTATAAATGTACTAACTAGATATAATATAAAATAATAGTAAATTTCAATGTAACATTATAAAACATGAACACAAGACATTCTATAAACACTCTAAAACATAAAGCAAAAGTAAGCTGAGTTTTAAGTATAATGAACATAGGATAATATAAACTGTATCCTTATATACAGAAAATTCATATTCTCAAAGAAATCAAGACCAATATTGCTTAGAATAAAGGCCCCATTTAAATAGATAGCACCTGCAACCAAACCACACACACACACACACACACACACACAATCAGTTTAGACAAGTTCTGAGTTTAAATAAAATCTCCTTATAAAATTGTATCAAGATGGCCACACATTATTCTATGCTGATACAGTTGTGGCAACAGTCTCTTGGCCCCAAGAATCCCTAATGGGGTCATGTAATTGCCCATGATACAAGCAAACCTGAAAAGCTGAAATTTTGCTGCACAGAGTAGTCCTTTATTATTTAGGGTTTCATCACTACTCAAGTCTCTATGCCCTTCATAATCTATGATAGTAATAGGAAATAGTTACAGATATCCTGACTTGTTTCTAAAGCCAAATTAGGAATCAGCAAGTCTGCACCTTCACTCTGGGCTGGGGGGGGGGGGGGGG